GACCTTGTACGCAAGAGGTTTTCAACAGGGGGAGTTGTAAGTAAGAAGATTAAAAATGAATTGATTTTTTTTTTTTTTTTTTTTTTTTTGGAAAGCATGAAAATATTATTACAAAAACAGTAGTCTTGACAAGGCCGAGGACCTCACAATTCAACCCGGAGTTATCCTGGGCCCTGGCAGCCTCAGCCAGTTTAGCTTACGAGCCGAGCTCGAGAATCCACCCTGACTGCACCAACAGAACACTCTTTCACTATATGCTGGAAACGAGGTCCACCGGCCTCTGCTTAAACGTTTTCCAAAAAAGAAATTTAAACTTGAAGCCCAGGAAAAAAAAAAGGTGATCTATCCATACTGACCACCTTCTTCCCCCGAATACAACGTACGGTCATTATAGCTGTATTTGACGCATCTTTCAGTGTAGATACAGCTATAATGACCGTACGTTGTGTATTCGGGGGAAGAAGGTAGCTCTCTTCATCATACTTCACCTTAAGACACAACTGACTGAAAGCAACCAAACTGCTTTTGGAGCTAGTACACAATATTTAGCAGCGTCCATATTGTGTCTTCAAAATACATAGCAATTTATATATTCGGGACTCTGTTCCTCTAAGCAGAGACTCAGTTCCTCTAAGCAGACCATCTCCTGTATTTTGCCGAACCTTCCAGCCAAAATAGGCCCAATACGGCCTACTGAGTTCCAATGTAGCACCTTCTTCGGGGCTGTCTCCAAATACCCCTAGCCCAACTAGTCATGTAGCAACCACTGAGCATAGGACAAAGTCCCCTCAGACGAGATAGTAGTTCTTGTTTTTTTTCGCTTTTGCGCTCTGACATCTTTGTGACAATATATATATATAACAGCCACTGATAGCCGCTGAGGAGACTGATCTCCATTCATTACGAAAGAAAAGTGCACAACGAGTGTACCGTGACTATACCTTTGGACTATGCCGTGACTATGGCGTTGCTCTATACCGTGACCAGGGTTACCTGACCGAACGTTCGGGGGCCCCGGGCTGGCCCCCGAACGTTCGGGCGTTCGGGGTCCCGTTCGGGGGCCGAACACCTCCAGGTTCGGCCCCCGCCAAAAACCATTTCGGGGCCTAAAAATACGTTTTTTTTTTCTGAATTGTTTTTTGTGAGTTCTCTATGATGTAAACTACACGGCTATAAATTTTGAAGCCATTCTGCTAAGCCAAAAAAACATTAAAAATCGTCAAAGATGGGGGTGTCAAAACGTGCTTGCCCACTCACTATTTTGTTTTTTTTGCACTTTTAACTTTTTGTTTTCACTTTATTTCGGCGCCTCAAAAATTTCATTAGTTTTTGAAATCTTTTTAATGAGTTATTGATTATGTAAACTACATACCTGTAAATTTTCAGGGCATTTTTCAATGCCGAAAAATAATTAAAAATCGGCAAAGATGGCGGTGTCCAAAAGGTGCTGGCACACTCACTCATTTTAATTCTCTTTTTATTTTTTCTTATTTTTATCATAGTGTTTATTTTCTGTATTTGATGTTTATTTCAAATTTGGTAAAGAATTTGGATGTAGTGCCCAGGCAAATGTTGTTTAGTTTATTTGTCTCCATAACATTGTTTTTTTTGGGAATTTTTTGAAAACGTTTTTTTTTTTTTTTTTTTTTGGGGTCCGCGTTCGGCCTGAACGGCCGAACGCCTTCCGAAGGGGTCCCGTACGTTCGGGCGTTCGGGTTCGGGCGTTCGGCCCGTCCCGAACGCCAGCAACCCTGACCGTGACTATATCGTTGGACTATACTGTGGG